TGCCAACGAAAAATGTTTGCACTGTGTAAACATTTGCCTTTCCATTTTCATCACAAGCTATACTGCTTGTGTATTCAAGGAAAGTGCTTGCGAGTGCAGATAGATTTTTGAATGAATGCAGATACAGCTTTTACTGAAATGGCAAATTATATTGTTTTTGGTGATAGATGTATAATATGCGGTTATTACGAGGATATTGAAAAGTATGCACGAAACAAAGACAGTACAGCGGGAGTATCGACCGATGCACAGCGGAGGTTGATGCGACGGCTTACTGCCTGAGTACATAATTTTTGATATCCTCATAATAACCTTATTACCGGTATTATACACCTTTCCTCCCAAAATATTTAGAACAGAATCAGCGAAATTCTTTGTGTAGAGTCCGGACAAACCCTGGTGGCAGCCGTGTTTGTTTTTATTGTTAGAGGAAGCTTACACGCATAATCATTCTATATTTGGAATTTGCATTTCCTAATATTGTAAGATGAAAATACCACGTAAAATACTGCAGAGTTATAGCAGATGTATAATAATAAATGTTATGCTTATGTTACAGGAATGTACATTGAATATTCATTATCAATTCAGTCAAAGCAAAGGAATCAATGTGCCTTCAGGACCATTGAGTGCACCAAATGCTGTTGGTATTATTTTAGCACATGGTAAGCCAAAATAATGATTGAAAAATTAATCACTTCGGAACTGAATAATAATCTTATAATAATGTTATCAGGTTTAGAGATTTTGTTTCCTCGTATAGAATTTTCAGTTTAAACTTACAGTAAAACTCGATCAATTCGCGGTAGTAAAAATAATTATTCTTTCAAGTGCGCGAATTAATAGCGTAAAAACGGAAATTATTGTTTTTTGGTGCGCAAATTAAAAGAGTACTTTTAGATCGATTCAAAAAGGAGCTTTTTTCATAAATTTATTAGTGATTTGTTTTGTTTTTCAATGAACATGATTACAGGACGTTGTTTTAGTGCCTCTGAGACTTGTGGCTAGCGACATTCATGGCGTATAGTCGAGCAGAGAACACGCACTGCGTCGAGGACCATGCACCATGTTACACTTGAAATGGAACAGTGAAATGGCAAAGGTCACTCTGTACACAAACAAACAATGAACACGTGGCTACAAAGTAGCCATCTGGCTGCACTGCCTTTTTTTTTAATTTTTCTAGGCAGTACCGTCAGATACAACAGGTTCGACAGGACGTCGGCGGTTAAGCCGTCAAACCAATCACCATCTTCGTCGTCGTCGTTTAAAAGCAGATTAGCAATGATTTCTGCTATTTCAGTGTTGCTTCGGATAAGGTGGTCTTCTGCCCTCGTTGATTGCATTTTTGTAGCCATGTGTTCATTGTTTACATGATTGTTTCTTTTTTTTGTCTAGCACTTTCATCTATAATGAAAATGTGACACGAGGTCAATCGCCCCACCAATCAAAAACGTCAATTTACGCACCATAGGGCGGTTCACTTAAATGACGTAATAGAATAAAATCACTTTCCAAAATGGCGGGCACATGGTCAAGGCATCCCTGTGGACCAGCGACGAAAAGCCCTGTACTAAGCTTTCGATCACGGAAATTCGTAATCAATGTGCTGACCGATGGATATTTATCGACTAAGTAATAATCTTGCCCAACATCTGTAGTGTCGTGGGAAAATGACCAAACCTAAACTGCTTGCTAACTGAACGGCTGTAATGATGGAGATCGTCTGCAATTGCGGCTACACCAAGTACTGAAAACATAAAAACAAAATGTATATTTTTAATGTCTTCATGCAATATATTCTGAGTTATCCACTTTATTCTGGTCCGCGAATTAATAGGATAAAATTTTAAACATTTTTTTGAATGCCGCAAATTAAAAGGATACATTTAAAAATTAATGGGTGCGTGAATTAATAGGGACCGTGAATTAATCAAGTTATTATGGTATGTACTCGTTACAAACCACGCATAGACTGATAATTTCAAAGTTGCCAACATTGTGATACAAAGTGCAGTAAGTTCTGGTAAGCTCTGAACTAAAATTGCATTTGTATTACCAAATCGCCTAGACGACTGGGAAATGATTTTATCTCAAAACAAATTTATTTCCCTGCTATTATAATTATAATAAATAATGCCATATTATATGACATATCATCATGTGATTTGATTTACCTTACCCTAGGTCATGTGATTTGATCTACCTTACCCTAGGTCATGTGATTTGATCTACCTTACCCTAGTTCATGTGATTAGATCTACCTAACCCTAGGTCGTGTGATTTGATCTACCTTACCCTAGGTCATGTGATTTGATCTACCTTACCCTAGGTCATGTGATTTGATCTACCTTACCCTAGGTCATGTGATTAGATCTACCTAACCCTAGGTCGTGTGATTTGATCTACCTTACCCTAGGTCATGTGATTTGATCTACCTTACCCTAGCTTATGTGATTTGAATCTACCTTACCCTAGGTCATGTGATTTGATCTACCTTACCCTAG